GGTGGCACGTACCTGTAGTCCTAGCTATTCAAGAGGCTGAGGCAGGAGGATCATGGACTCCAGGAGTTCAAGACTTCAGTGAGCTATGATAGCACCACTGCACTCCAGCCTGGGCAGCAGAGTGAGACGCCTTCTCTAAAAAGTAAGTAAATAAATAAAAATATTTTTAAAAAAGCAACTTGTAAAATAAGATATAGAAAATGCTTTATAATTATGTATTGTGCTGTTAGAAATAATAAACTTATTTTAGTGAAACGTTGGTTTCATGAAATAGCATTCATCTATAAATAATGGCATTAATATATCAAAAACCCTTAATTTAATGAATAATATGTGGCATTAAGTAAACAAGTCTAGTTTGCAAGTTCAATATAATGGACCAATGTTTTATATCAGTTAATATGAGAAGTTTGAGAGGCTGAGGCAGGCAGATAGCTTGAGCCCAGGAGTTTGAGACCAACATAGTGAAACTCTGGCTCTACAAAAAATACAACAAATTAGCCAGGCATGGTGGTGCATGCTTGTAGTTCCAGCTACCCAAGAGGCTGAGGTGGAAGGATTACCTGAACCAGGGCAGTTGAAGCTGCAGTGATCGAAGATCATACCACTGCCTTCCAGCAAGGGTGGCAGAATGACACACCGTCTTTGGGGATTACTGTTATTTTATTTATTCATTCAATCATTCATTTTGAGATGAAGTCTTCCTCTGTCACCCAGGCTGGAGTGCAGTGGCGCAATCTTGCCTCACTGCAACCTCTGCCTCCCGGGTTCAAGTGATTCTCCTGCCTCAGTCTCCCTAGTAGCTGGGATTACAGGCATCTGCCACGATGCTTGGCTAATTTTGTATTTTTAGTAGAGACACGGTTTTGCCATGTTGGTCCACTGGTCTCAAACTGCTGACCTCAGGTGATCCACGCACCTTGGCCTCCCAAAGTGCTGGGATTACAGGCCTGAACCACCGCACCCGACCCTACTGGTTATTATTTTAACAAGAAGAGATGGTGATGTAACATAACCGTCATAAGAAAATGACAACATATAATGAAAATTCAAGTATTGTGTACTTTTCAACAGTTGATCATTCCATTCTTACTGAAGCCATGGAGTTTGCTACTACTAATAAGCCTATTTTATATTTAAGTAAACTTAATTGTAATAGGTCATATCACTTGAAGATAGCCAAAGAGCATAAAGTGACAGAACCAGACGTTAGGTTCTGAGTTCTTATTCTCTATATGCTAGTTATTTGCATATAATCCATTACCTGTCATATGGTTTCGTAAAATTATTAATTTTGGTGACTAAAACTTAAATTTTTCAGCTTGATTTTTTTTTTTTTTTTTTTTTTTTTTTGAGACGGAGTCTCGCTCTGCCGCCCGGGCTGGAGTGCAGTGGCCGGATCTCAGCTCACTGCAAGCTCCGCCTCCCGGGTTTACGCCATTCTCCTGCCTCAGCCTCCCAAGTAACTGGGACTACAGGCGCCCGCCACTTCGCCCGGCTAGTTTTTTGTATTTTTTAATAGAGACGGGGTTTCACCGTGTTAGCCAGGATGGTGTCGATCTCCTGACCTCGTGATCCGCCCGTCTCGGCCTCCCAAAGTGCTGGGATTACAGGCTTGAGCCACCGCGCCCGGCCCTCAGCTTGATTTTTAACCAAACTAAGTATAATTTACATTTATACATACACATAAATATAAGTAACTAAGTATAAATGAAGATCCAAATTTTTATTATATTTTCAACATATACTGAAGTAATGACTGTGCCCTATATACCCACATGAATACAGATAAACATGGTTAGCATTTAATAAGCATAAAATATAATTTTAGTGATTAAATTAAGAAGCTTCAACATTGACATTTTTAAATACTATATTGGAAAGAATGCTTGCCAAGGACAAATTTTCAAGAGAATTTGATATGTGTAATACAGTGTCTCTCATTAGCTCATCAGCCATTACTGAAATCTTAGTATCCTGCTACTTTTACTTTTAGTAACTGGTGTTTATTTAGCTCTCCATTATAAAAAATATGGGGAAAATATGTCATTGTGCACAAAGGACATGATAAAACATTATAATCGGTCATGCTTTCTCTGTCTCTTGTAAATCACTTAAGTCATTGAAACAAACTTAAATTTCTCCTTAGATCTCTGTTCTATAACTGAAGTTCCTCTCTTGCTACAGTCTGCTTGGCTCCCTGATTCTGTCTCTACATCCAGCCCTCAACTCATAGAGCTTCTCAAATTCCATATTTTGTGTTGGATCATTTAGTTTGCCCTAACATTATACTCCATTGAGCAATGCACACATTAAGCAGTTAGATGAAACCACCTCCTTTAGAAAACAATTGAGTTATCATTTATTGTTACACAAACTCCTCACATAGAGCTCTCACTCCTCATACTACATGAATGATCATAGTAATGTAACAAAAACTGGGTCTGAGAGGGAAGAATGGGTTCTGCATCTGAAAATAATACAATTTTTCTCCATATTGCTACTTATTCATGGACTTACAAAATATTGTCTTAATACCTATTTTGTGCAAAATACTAAGTTAGGAACCTAGGAACATAAAAATTAAAAAGTAGTCTTTTAAGGAGCTTACCATTGTGCATTGGAGAAAATATGCAAATAATCAGATATAAGACATTTCATATGAAATTAGGAGAAACAAAATTTATTGCAGCACTAAGTAGGGCTCAGGAAATTCTTGTTCATGAAGGAGGTGATATTTGAATTAACCTTTTAAAGAAATGATAGGTGGTAAGAAGAGTGCCTAGGGGAAAGTAAAAGTATTCAAAAATACATGGGTAATTGTTGGGAGAAAAGCTGAGTGTTGAGAGAAGCTGAGGCAGGGCTTGCATGTCTGACACAATGTAAAAGAGCCTTGGAACATGGCCAGGGTCCAGAGTCTAGAGTCTAAAACCCCTTGTGGCCTTTGGAACACCAAGCTCTGTGCCAAAGGGCAGAAGGCTGCCCTGACACACCACAATCTAAGCCCAGGGCACAAAACCCCTCGTGGCTTGGATAGAATCCAGGGCTCATGGCTCTGGATTGTGTCTAGGCTTGCTAGCTCTTTGTTCCTTGCCCTCCCAGGATCGATTGTATCTTGAGTTAAAAGAATCTGCTCTCCATTATCTTAGGTAGCAGAATATGTTCCATATGCTTCAAAGGAAATACTAAACCATCACAGCTGTAGATCATACGCTTGCCCTTTCAACCCCCACATTCTCACCACCTGTTTCTTTGTTTGAGCACCAATAAATAGACTGGGCTTCCAGAGCTTGGGGCCTTTGCGACCTCCACACTCGCGATGGCCCCCTGGACCCACTTTCTCTCTCAAACTGTCTTTTCTCATTCCTTTGATTCTGCCAGACTTTGTCACCCCCACAACCTGGTGTTGGGTCTGATCACCCCAACAATAATACACAAAAGGCACAGACGTGGGAAATAACTTTCCATCTACATGGAAGAGCAAATAATATATGTGTCTGGGATCGAGGATTACTCCAGAGATCAACTGAAACGCATATGTTGTCTCAAAAGATAACAAGGTGCAAGATCATGATCATGATCATGGAGGTTCGTGAAGCATAAATTAAAGATGTTGGCACTCACCTAGAAAGGATGGGAGCCACTGGCATTTGTTTAGAAGGGAAGTGACATGATACCATCTTGTTCCACTTTTTAAAAATTCACACCTGCTCTTTCCTTTGTTTCCAGGACCCTCCCATGAAAGCCCTTCCAACCTCCCATGCTTTTAAGTCCATTCATTTTAAGCTTGATTCATCTCTTCTGGAAGGTGTTTCTTAACCTCTTTTGTTAAGCTTTGCAGATTCTTTTTCCCAGAACAGGTTATGTACTCCTCTCATTTTCCTTCCTTGTGCTCAGACTTTATATATTTTTATGATTCCTGTATAATAATGATCTATTTTTAAAAAATCTATCACCCTCACTTGATTTGAGTTCAGGAGGAATTCATCATTGGTCTCTGTATTCTCAGTGTCTTGCTAGCATGTTGCCTTCCGGGTGCTTCATACATTTTAGCTGACTGAATGATGAGAACTATATCTTAGTAAGAAAATCTGTCATCATTAAAGAAGGTACACTAAAGAGAAAATAGAATAAATTTAGGGACACTAGCTAGATGGTCACTGTAATGGGAGATAGTGAAATGATAAAATAAAAAGGTGAATGGAGATGTGAAAAGGAGACACCAAAGAGAGAAAGCTGATTAGAATGGGACAGAGGCAGAAAGACTGATTTGAAGATTATCCTTGACAACTTGGGAAAAGGTTATACATTGTCCTACATGGGGATGGTTTTGCTAAGGAAACTGTGAGTTTTCTTTTGGTGGGTTTTATCTGACATGTATGTTAGAGCATTGAATTTTTTTTAGATGTCTAGAAACTATAATTATTCACTCTTAAAACAAAAATGTGGATTACTATTTTTTGTCTTAAAACCAAAAAATGTATCCTGAAGCAGATTTGAGCTGTAATACTATGAGTCTGTAACAGTAAGAAAAAAAAAACTCAACAGTCCAGTCTGGCCAATGTGACAAAACCCCATCCCTAATGAAAATACAAAAATTAGCTGAGTGTGGTGGCATGCATCTGTTGTCCCAGCTACTTGGGAGGCTGAGAGTGCAGAATCACTTGAACCCAGGAGAAAGAGGTTGCAGTGAGTCGAGATCATGCCACGGCACTCCAGCCTGGGTGACAGAGTGAGACTTTGTCAAAAAAAAAAAAAAAAAAAAAAGAAAAAAGAAAAAGAAAAGGAAAAGAAAAGAAAGAAAGAAAGAAAAGGAAAAAAAGGGGAAAAAAAACTCAACAGAGATAAACGTACATCTAATCCTGTTCCTTAGAGAGAAGCAATATCTAACCTTTCCCACTAATCTTATATTTGGGTGTGCAAAAGTTCAAGTTTTATTTGAATCATACTCGACTGATTCCAAATTAATTATATGTTATTTCTCTCTCGCTTCTCTACAGTATGCTGTCTGGCTAGTCCTCTGGGTTACGTGGAATGTGTTTGTTATCTGCTTCTATTTGGAGGCTGGGGACCTCTCAAAGGTAATTTACCTCTAATTTGCCTGGGTCATCAGTAGTGTGTTAGCAAGTGTCTTCCTAAGTAAGGCAGAGTCTCATCCTGTTCTGCTTGCTTAGATGTACCTCAATGAAAGTAAAATGAAAGGTGTCTTGATTTATATTTGTGCATTTTTCTCTTAAAAATATATTTAGTGAGTCACAAAAATGTACTTTTTCTTAAGCAAAACTAATGTGAAATGTTGATTATTATAGTGACCAGTGTACTTTAAAACATTAACCACTGAGACATTTCTGAAGCAAAATGTGAATTAAAAAAAAAAATCTTGAAGATTTCTGAAATCACTTAGTTTGCTTATTACTCTGCTAAACATTTTCATTATTGATTTTAAATAGCAGTGCAATAATTTAACAGTTAATGGGCTTTGGTTGAATGAAATTCTTACTAGAGGGATATAATATGTTACAGAAATGAATAAAATAAACCCTTTATTCTAAAAAGGCTAGGAAAACTAAATACTTGCTTTTTTCACTTAGTTTTTTTGTGCTCTGTATGTGTGTATCTTGCTACTGTATTTTTCACATGGATGCCCTTACTACTCAAATAGCATAGACTTCAGATCTCAAAAACCATCATCCTTCTGTTAGAATGCAATTGACAACAAATAAGTAAATGAGGTAATCCATTCAAGGTAGTAGCAAATTCTGACTCTTGAGAGAGTTTCAAACTTGTATGTACTTCCTCGTATTTAAAACTTCAAAACATAAAAATTGTAAAAATACTCTTTTACTTACCCTGTATTAGAGCAGAAGGTCCCTGGAAACATGTTGATGTTTTTAAAACCTAGAGATACTTGCGCGCTTTAAAAGAACAAGACAGCTAAAAAAAATTTTTTTAAAGAAAATTCCTCAGGAACTACTTTGGCCTTGTCAAGCTATATATTTTGGCAGGAGAGAGAAGAGGAGAATGGTAATACACATTTATGATCCTAAATGCGGGAGTTCCACAAAACACTCAGCGTGTGCTCTTTATTATTTAACTGTGATATGTGGCTTTATATCAAGTGAAAATCATCTTGATTTGTTTTTATTCAATGACAAAAGATGAAGGATAAAATAAGAAGATGACATCATGATATGAGAGAGAAGCAAAGCTTCTGGAATGTGTAAATTTATGATCAGAACGTGGACAAGTCCTCACCATGGCTGACAAAATCTCCCTAGAGGATGCCATTTCTGTGTTTCTTGCAGGGCATCGTTCCCCACACTCTGGTTAGCAGGCAGTCTTTTCAGGAAGGTGCCGTGACCAATGAAAAGAAATTGTTCAGTGGCTCTAGGAGGGACCCAGACAGGATTGCTGCTGAAAACTCACATTCGCCTCAGTGTAAGAAAAGCAGACACGCTTTTCCAAGGATTTGAATTCCTTGCCCAATTTATATATCTCTACTACTCTATAATCCACTTTCTTCAAAGAAGTTCCACAGTAGGATGACTTTTAATGATATTTTCAATTTTAAATAATCACCTTAAAAATTGTAAGGCAGGTGTTCAGACATATTGCCTGAGTAAAATGATCCAGCAGATCAGAGAATTTGTTTAATATTAAGAAAAGAGAGAAAGAGATTTGAGCAAAGCTGGCTGCACAAATGTTCTGTAATTGTGTTCACTGCTCCACCTGATGACTGCGGGCACAGGATAAAGCTCGTGACTTCATGACCTTGGACACAGGCATTGAAACCACAGCCAGGGAGCTAAGAATTCTTCCAATGTACACGGGCAGATAATGACTATCCCTTGGCAATGAAACAGTTAATCTTTTATTTTCTTTTCATCCTATAAACCAAGGCTAGGCTGTGCAGAGCACATGAAAATTTAATAATTTCCTTTTTAACAAATAATCTAAAAGAAAACCATAAAGGGCAAAGTTATATAGTTATCTGTACTGGGTTTTCCTCTCTTTCCTGTTCAAAGGGTTTGAAAAAAGGTGTATTTATACCATTTAATTCTTTAGTTGTTATAACTGCCTCATATTCTTTAAGTAATACAGTGCTAGAAGGAAGCAATGGTAATGGAAAAATGTACAGAAAGATAGAAACTCAAAAATGGTACACATGAAACTTCTGATAATACTAAAAGAATGTAAACCATTGTTTTTCTCAATCCACCAAAAAAAAAAAAAATAGTTTGAATGTGTCTAACCTATGAATGGATCAGTTAGTTTGAGGCTGAGGGAGACGTTTGTGAAATAGAATCAGGGTTGAAATTTTGTGGGCTTTATATATGTGAAAGAGGTGTATTTATTTCCATGAAATCTTTTGTAAAGAGATGATGGCTTCATAATTGATATTGGTAATAGGTGATAAAATGTGGTAAAACATTAAGGTAAATTTTTGTTACCTGATTAGAGTTTAGAACTTTGTGCTGTCTTCTCTGCTTTTTCTAATGAACTATCTGCCATATGCTTATGAGTGAAACGGAAATTATAGTGATCAACCAACTGCCTGTGTACATTCATATTGAAATGACTTAATTTCAATAATGTGATACACAGGACTAACCCTTTTGATTGTGCTTTCTTTGTATACATAGGGATGTAGTTAATATATTTTCTTCATTGAAAATTCTATGAAAATCCAACATTATTATTAAAATTTCAAATAGCATATTTTAATTATAGTGTCCACAAAATCTAAGGAAAAATAAAAATAATCCACTGGAGAAACTTTTAAATGTTATATCATAGTTAAATTAACAAAATAATGGGAATATAATATAAAATGATACATAAGATGATAGCAGCAAATAAACATACACATTTAATATAATTGTAATTATTTCTGCTTATGCTAATGCATGAGATATTAGTGTTGAAACTAAATATCCTAAAGCATTTAGCGGTGTGTAACTTCCTGAGTTGATATTTTCGTAGATGTCCTGTTAAGGAAACTGAGAAAAAATTAGTCTGTAACCTGAAGTGTCTGGTAACTGTTTGAAATTGCCTTTGAGCATCAACTGTGACTTGGGCTATTGAATTAATAGTTTTGACAATTCCTCATATAGCCTTATTAGTCTGTTGTATTATTCTTGGCAATTGTGGTTCTCTTGATCATATATCAAATAGAGAGAAATAAGAACTAACCTCAGCCATCAACTGAGTTGAGTTATTTTCAACACAGGAGAGATATGCTATTTGTTCTGAAGTAATTTTTAAGTTGAAAGTATATAGCAGTAAGAAGGAAAACACATATAATATGGTAATTAATCTATTCAGTTCATCTGGGAGAACAAAATTTATTACTTTTTTTTTGAATAGTAATACAAAGGGAAGGAAATTAGTGGTCTTCTGATTGTCTGTAAAAACCTATATTATATTGCATATAATAAAATTATAAATTACTCAGGCTGAAATTATATACTTCCACTTTTCTTCATATTACTGTTTTCAGATATGTTTCTACTTTTATAATGTATGGGGCACCATTAGTGAATGATGTGCCTAACTTTACAAATAAAACAATAAACTTACAGAGCATGAAGGATAAACCAAGGGATTATTGTACACTTAAAACAACACAATTTGTCTCTATTTAACCCTTTGGACTAGGGGATGCAGGTATATCTCTCTCAGATTTCGCTATAGTGACAGAAATTTATACCTAATGTATGTGTCAGAATGAACACATCCTAGAAAGTTGTCATATTTTAATAATTTTGTTAGTTGCTTCAGAGATCTAGATATAACTTATCAATTTAAAAATTTGTTATATAAAAAAGTCATGTAATAATGTGGCTTATTTAAGCTTTAGGGAATAAAATTGCACTCTTGTGAATGTTAAGAGACAGGAAGGAGATAAAACCTGTCATATACCGTAGGCTATAGGGAACAAATCCTTAAAACCAGATGCAAGTGCAATGTGGAATAATGTACCGTTCCAACAATCTCAGTTTTATTTCTTCTGTAACAAAATGAATAATTCATTTAGAAAGATATCAGATATTTGGATTCTTTTGCTCAATCAAATCAATGCTTGTAACAAAATTTGCTTTTCTGACCTCATATGTAAAAAGATGGTATGCAGAGAAATATGTTATAATCTTTTTTATTTGAAAAAATAACTCTTCTTCTTTACTTTTCTTCATGAGATAAAAATATATAAGCAATCACTATTAAACAAAGACTACCTATAATAATTGATTTAAGATAAAATTTAACAAATATTATAATGACAATATATTGGGTTCATTTTTTTAAATTTTTATTTTCTTACTGTAAAATTTATATATCTGAGAAAATTTCAATTAACTATTACTAAACTAATTAGAAAAATTTTTATTTCTGAACTATCAAAGCAGATTTTTGCCTGATGATACAGGGAAAGATATTCGACCTGTTATTAATAATTAAATATAATGTAACTCTTTCCCAAATCTAGAAATGAACCAACCAGTTAGAATTTAGTCAGTCACCATCTCCTTTCTCTTGTTTTCCTTTATACTTCATTGAATTAAACTGATTATTTCCTCATTTCTTAAATTCATTTTTCTTTATTTTCTATTTCCTTTTAATATCTTTAAAGTGAGGAAAAGAGTCCATGAAGTGTTCTTATTCTCTGTCTCCATTCTTTTACTTGAAAATGCCATTCACTGACATAAACTATAATCTTTATACATATGTCTACCAGATTCATATCTTCAGTCTTGACCTTGTTGCTAAGTTAACATGTCACATCTCCAACTTCCTGCTGGTGTCAGGCCAATTCTATTGTCACCTTAAATTCAAAATGTCCAAAAGGATTTATCATCATCCCCAAAGAATCCAACTTCTTTTATTCACTTTCTGCTAAGAGAAGAAAAACGAGAATAAAGCAAAATTTATTTTGTAAAAAAATGAATAAAAGAGGAAAAATAATTTTATTATCGTTTTTGAGATAGAGTCCTGCTCTGTCACCCAGGCTGGAGTGCAGTGGTGCAATCTCAGCTCACTGTAGCCTCCGCCTCCTGGGTACAAGCAATTTTCCTGCCACAGC